TTATATTACTTATAAAATTTATTATACTTAATTTAGTTAATTTTAGCTATTTCTTAAACTCGGTTTAAATCTATATAGATAAATCTATAATATAGAAATATTATATCTCTTATAGTAAATAAAATATCTTAAATAAAATAAAATTAAGATATATTTTAATAAATTACTATTTTATTAATAATATTAAAATCCAAGATAATAGATTTACTTATATCTATTTTATAAATCTAATAAGAGCTATTTAATATTCTTTCTTTTATAGATATTATAAAAAAATTGTTATTATTAATTACTATAGTAGAGATATTCTTATTTTTCTATTTTAGTAGTATATATAGTATATATATTCTTAAGTTTCTTAATTTCTCTAGGTTCTAATTTACTAAGATCTATTTGTATATTAAATATAGTTATGAATAGCTTTAGTAATTCTATTTTATTTAAGACTATTAAAGTAAATTTTTTAACTATTCTAAATAAAGAATTAGTAGTATTTTTAATTCTTAGTAATAAATTTATATTTAAAATAGTAATAGTTATAAGAGAAACTACTTTATTTAATAATTTCTAAATAGTTTTTCTATATTCTACTATATATCCTCTTTAAAAAGAGTATATATAGTATTATCTTTTAGTATTTCTATTTTTATAAGAAAAATATAGATAGTATTAATATGACTTTTTTTATTATATATCTAAACTTTAGAAAAAGTCTAAAAGATATAGATTCTAATAATAATAACAGTTATATAGTAGACAGTTTAACTACTAATAAACTAAAATATTCCACTAAATAGTCAGAGTACTGTATTAGTATAAAATATAAATAAGTATATATATTATTTTTAAAATTTTCTATATAACTATAACTAGAGTTGCACGCGGGTCGGGTTTTTGATAGGTCGACCCGCACCCGACCCAAAACCCGCTAGGTTTAGGCCTCCCCGACCCGCAGGTTCCCTGCCAAGCCTATGCTAAACCTAATTAGGTAAGGTGTTACTTATTAATCACAGACCTTGCCTAATTAGACCTAGTATAAAATCCTTTTAAGCTCTAAATCTCTACCAATTCTATATATATAAAATTGATATTATGTATATATATATATATATTCTGGATCTATATAAAAATCTAGAAAAAATCTAGAAAATCGATATTATAATGCCAAGAAAAACCCGCTCGGGTTCCCCGTACCCGGACCGGGTTCTGCCTTCTATCCCCGCCCCCGTCCCGGAGCCGGGTTGGGGCGGGTTCGGGTCGGGTCTAGCGGGGAACCCGTGCCACTCTAACTATAACTAATTTAGATAAATAACTATCTAGTCTCTACTAATTCAATAACTTTTGGATATATATAGAATATATAGATAGATGTTTTAAATATTAATTTTAATAATAGTTAATATAGTTATTAAGACTCTCGGAGTCTCGGTTAAACTATATTAATTTTAAGATAAACCTTAATAAGTAGAATAATAGATAAAGATATATTCCCCCGAGGATCTCCTAGAGTATTGTCACTATAGATATACTACCAATTGTTAGACTATAAGTAAGTTGGTTTTCTCACCAAGTGCTGTAAGGGTGCGGATATACTGCATCAGCCACATGTAGCAGAATACCTGTGGCAGCATAAACTAGCCTGAGTATGTGGCAATTATACAGATCTTAATTATATAAAGGATTTATGTTCTTAAGTAATTTATTCTATTTTAATTTATATATATTAATGCTTGTAATCTGAATATATTATGTTAAGCGTTCTGCCACTCGACCAAAATACCTTTGGCATTTGGTCGTGCCTCCAACCGAACAATCTGGCCAACACAATATCTTATACTCCGTATCTCGTAGCCTGTTGGCCTACTATACAGTATACTCCACAGGCATACCGCTATCCCGCTTATGTACACTGAAGGAGCCCCTACAGAGCCCATACAGTTAAATGATCTATATTTTAAATTATCGAATGTATGTATACTTAATATGTCTACCGCCTAATTCTCTACCTTAAGACCAATGCTCTATAAATTATTATTATATGAATATCACTTATTTAGACCTTCTCCCTAATTTATTATCATTATTGTTATCGTTATTGTTATTGATTAGTAGTGGAATTTCGTTATCATAGTAAGTTGTATCCAACTAAGATAGCTACCTGGTTGCAGAGTCCCTTGGATGAAGCCCTGGGCGTAATTGCCAGCCGGCGCCCGGTCTTCCTGCGAGAATTGGGTATAATAACTGTCTGATCACTGGTTCATGGACAATTCTGGATCAGTACCAACCAGTCTAGAAATACCCGTCAATTGAGCCAAGAACCTCTGGGGAGACACTAGGGTATGGTTACCGACACATGTTGTTATATACAAAATTCGATTGTTATAAATAATTTCCCTTACTGAACCGAGAACCAAAGTCACCGGCCTTATTAATCATCTCCCGACGCTGGGCGTTGGTTATCTTAGAGGAGATAGCCATATCCTTCTCCTTATCAAAGGGGCGACTACTAGGATCGTCCCCATCGCCCTTTTTACATTCCTCGAGAGGTTGTGATACATTTTCTTTCCGCTTAGCATCCTGGAGTTGATAAGCACTCATTGGACTAGCAATATGCTACACTGCCTGTCATAACTCACATTGTACTTTTGGATCCTGTCCCGCATAGCCTGTGATGCTCTGGCAGGTCGAGTTACTTGATCTTTGTTTGCACCAAATGTGCTAACACCCATGACTTTATCTTGTAACCGCTTCATTTTTTGCTCTGGCGTTTCCGTCCAAGATGAATCTATCTCCCCTGATTGGGAATTTTGTGCTGATCTTCCACTTTGAAACTTTCGACTCCTCAGTCTGGCTGGATCCACTCTTGCAGTCCTTCCTGATGTCCCTGGAGGCTGTAACATCCACTCATCTCGATGACTTCGATCCTCGTCAGCATGGCCTTGCTCAGTCGACGGGCCATTTAAAGTGTCCCCTTGTATTCTGGCATCGGCTAGTCGGGTCTCCATAGGACCTGAAGGAGGTAAACTCGGACCGATGTCATCGTCGTCACTGCTTTCATTTTCACCCTCTGAGTCTAGTGTGTGATCGTCTGCCGGATTTGATAAAGGCAATCTTGGTCCGACTACCCTCCGTCGTTTGTCAGTACTGTCATCACCATGTTCGGGATATGGTGCCGGTTGCTCAAACTTTCGTTTCTCACTTTGATCCATTGCATAAAAACGATTTGTTTGGTTGACAGGGAAGGAAGGAGCTCATCCTTATCGTGCTTATGTTTAGTTAGTTACACATAATGATTATGTAATCAATTAGAGTGTAACTAACGTAACTGGTATATGAGCTTACAGCTCCGGGGGGGTCAGGAATTAGTGGCTGGGGGTCAGGTGGGGCGGAAAAGGCAGCTTGTAGGGGGTCAGAGAAAATACTGTCGGTTTACATGACTTTTCAATTCCTGACCCCCCAGGAGCTATTTCTTACTAATTATAATTTTAATAAGATAAAAATATCTGACCCCCTTAGAGCTCTTCCACGTGACTAGTCCAGTTTCTGACCCCCTTCCAGCCCTCATCACATGATATATTATCTAAGTAAGAAAATATTAAACCTTTTTGTACTTTGGTCCAAAAATTTTGCCAAGATTTTTTTTATATTTAAACCCTGTTTAAACTCAATTAGTACTTAACACTGACTATAGATCATATAACCTGTATCTCTATGAAAGTGTGTACTGTATCTTTCAGTAAAAAGTGTATCCATTTGTCACGGAGCCGATGAGGAATCGGCCTGTAAAGCCTGCAGAACCCTCGGGCCCCTATATCCTGGTTTATCGTGTATAGACCCTGGTCCCGGTCCTTCCTATATAAGACCTCGGACCCCCTACAGTTTAGAATCGGTCGGAGGAGAGACTACCTGACCTTTCACCGACTCTACAGCGGGAAAGACGGTAAGACCTGCCGAATAGAGAAGGATTCCAAAGCTATTTAAGGAGATCTAAAGACATAGATAGAGGAGACTAGAGTTACATACATATCGGGTTTTTAATAGGTCTCCCCGCACCCGACCCAAAACCCGCTAGATTTAGGTCTTTACGATCTGTAGGTTCCCTGCCAAGTCTTAGCTAAATCTAATTTAGTAAGATACTACTTATTAATTATAGATCTTATCTAAATAGGTCTAGTATAAAAATCTTTGAAGCTCTATATCTCATATATATATTCTAGATCTATATAAAAACCTAGAAAAAACCTAGAAAATTGATATTATTATACCAAGAAAAACCTACTCAGATTCTGTCAGAGTGAAATTTCCTAAGTAGGAAATATTCTTTCAATTTCATTCAGTATTACCTGATAAGGAAATTTACTCTGACACACCCCCCCAGATTTAAATATCTAAAAATAGATATTAAATCTGAATAGAAATCAGTAGGTAGGTCATGTCAAAAAATCGATAGATAAGTTGATTTGAAATCAGTAAAAGGATCGATTAAAAATCACCAAAAATAGTGAAAAGTTGAATAGATTGAAATAGGGCTAATTCAATTTGATATCCTAGTTTGAATCGGTTGAATCGGTTTCATTGAATCGATCAGATATATCAGTCATATTTAAATGGTTTAGAAAAATCTGATATTTTTGATTAGGCAGTTTTTTAGTTAAACTATCTACAGATATCTGATTAGTCAGTTTCTATATAATATCAATATTTTTAGCTCTAATTTCCTGTCTAAGCCAATGATTTTGAATATTAATATATTTCAGCTTAGATCTATATATAGAATAGTCATCTGTAAGCAACTAAATAGTCTGCTTATTATTATATTCTATATAGAGCTTTTGATCAGGATTGAAGCTTAAAGCCCTAAATAGGTGTTTCCACTATAGGAATTGTCTACTAGTACTAGTTAGAACTAGTAATTCAGCTTTAGTAATTAATAAAATAACTGTTTTCTACTTTCTAACTAACTAATCCATAGAGCTACTATATAGCTTACAGATATATTCTTCAGAGCTCTTTTTATCTGAATAATCTATGAAAATAGTATTATTAGCTATAGAGAAAATAGGACTAAAGTAATCTAATTAATCAGAATTTATAGAACTAGTAAGCCCTGAGTATTCTATAGATAGATATCAAGTTCTATATAGATATAAAATTATATAATTAGCAGCGACTATCTATCTAGAACTAGGATTTAATAGGCTTTCTGAAAAAAATTAGTAGCCCTTTAAAATATCAGACCTAGATATAATAGATATATATGAAATTAAGCTAATATTTTACTGATATGTATAAATATATTGTAATAAGATCTAATATAGATAGTTAGATAAACTCAATTTTTCTGCTAATAGAGAAATTTAAGATATTTTCTAATTAATTAGATAAAAGCAGTAAGTAATTTTATTAATATAATCTATCTAAGAAATCTAGAGCTTTTTATTAAAATAATTCTTAATAATTCTTATATTAACGTAATCCACGGCCGAGCCGGCAGGTTTTTAAACTATCTACCAGTATTTGAAGCTTTTCAACAACAAACACTATTAAATTTGACTTATTAAAAATATAAAAAAATAGCTATTTATTAGGGCAATTTCGAATAGTATGTCCAATGATCCCACAGCCGCTGCAGCGTTGAGGGGCCCGTCGTCAAGGCACAGGTGTAGGTTGCTCAGGCTGCTTATTAAACTGTGTATTAAGCTGCTAAACGTGATTTTCTCCTTCCTGTACTATTAAAAGGCTATCGTTCCCTATTATAGCACGTTTTCTAGATTTTTTCTTATATTTCCGCTTGTTCTTAGCTCGTACAGCCTTGATTTCTTATTGTAAGAGAAGATTGGTATACATAGCCATTTACGCAGCTTTTTCAAGGTGTTAAATTGGACTGCTAGAAAACTTCTGCTTTGTATTAAGACTATTCTATAGACTACAGATCTTCCGGTCTAGCTGACAGGTATTCTGAGGAGTTTGAAAAGTAGAGGAAATTGAGCCTTCAGCTAGTGGTAGTGTTGGTGTATATAGTTAAAAGTTCAGCTTTAAAAGAATATACTCTTGATTAAATAGCTTAAGTCCTACTCCTGTAAAACTACTGCAGATCTTCTCTGAAGTAAATACTTTAGCGCGCACATCTGGATATAGAGATAGAAAATCTTCTTTATCGATATAATTATTACCGGCAACTATATATTCTTCAAGAAGCTTTCTATATACAAGTTTAAATAGGCCAAAAATACTAATATCAAGCGGTTAAAGAAGCTGTGAAGTATACACAGATATACAGAGACAGATAATAGTATTCTACTTACAGAAGTTATCGAAATCAGCAGTCAGATAGCTACTATAGCTATCAAGAATAAGTAGTTATTTAGCACCAGTTATATAGCACTTAGAGCAGGGTTTAAATATATCTTTTAACTAGCGAAGATCTATTTAATCTATTATCCAGCTATTCTAACTGGTTATAATCTACTAGTCTTTAGCAAGCTTAGATTCTTAGAACCAGACAGCTTATTAATAACTTACTTTAAGTATAATAACTGGCAGTATATATATACCTTTTGAATTGACTGTTTCAATAATTATAACTTATTTATAATTATCTTAGATAACTCTGTATAGTCGCTCACTGTGCTCAACAATAGTAATTGCTTTAGAAATAGAGCAGAGACCTATTATAGAGCCAGTCTTATTAAAATTCTAGATATTATCTTTATATATACCATATTCTTTAATAGCTGCTTGAACAGTCTTAAACCAAGATAATATAACTTTTGGATCTTCCTACTTTATATACTGATAGATTATTTGTCTTGTATATTGTATACAAAACTCAGAACAATATTTAGTAAAAGAATAAGTCTAGTTAACTCCTAGAGTTACTGTAGAGTCTTATAATTGTTCACAAAGTAGAATTTATACCATTCCACACAGAAACTCTGGCCGAATTGGAAAACCTTGCTTATCTGTATCTAGAAGCTTTTGTACAAGAACTTTCTTCTTAAAAATAGTTAATTTATAGTTATTAACACGTGTTTCTGATCGTGAATTAATCCCGCGTAGCCGATCTTAAAGTGTACTTCTAGATATACCGAAAACCTCTGCAGCTTTAGATTGAGATGAAATTTTTTTACTTTTATAAGCAGATATAGCCATCTGTATTCGGCTTTCTTGTGAAAGTGATATTTTATATAATAATAATAAAGAAATGACGCGTTGGATGATGTTTGATGGTGGTGTAGAGGAAAACCTGCCGGCTCGGCCGTGGATTACGTTAATAAATCTAGTTATCTAATCTAGATCTTTTATCTAATAAGTATTTAATAATAAGTTTTTAAAATTAATTATCTTGTTCTAGTTTTTATAATATTATATAATAATTATATTATCTATATATATTATTAGAATTGGATAGTTATTTATATATATATAGAGATCTTTAGATATAGATTTAAACTTTAGAGATTCTAGGATTTTTTCTCTATTTTTCTACTATAGAAATAGTACTTGTCTTAGACTATATAGAACCATATTTAATTTTAGAGTTATATATTTAGATCTATATCTAGATAACTAAAAAATATAGATAATTTTATCTAGAAAATTATTTAAAAAGATATTTACTATATCTAATTAAATAGTTTCTAGATTAAAGACAGTAATTAGAACTAGAATAGTTCTAAATATTCTAGAAATTAGGGTTAGAACCCTAATTTCTAATTAATTAGAGATTTATAGATTATCTAATATAGATTCTAATTTTAAATTCTATTAGAAAATTACTAGAATTATATTTATATTTAAATATATATTTTAGTAGTAATATTTTAAATTAATTTTTATCAATTTTTTTAATTAAAATAGAAGTCTAGATTTTTATGTAAATTAGTTATCTATATTTCTTTTCTATAGTTAATAGCTATTCAGATCTAAATTTAGATTTAAATATTCTAGACTAATTAAAAGACTAAAAATAAATTATTTTTAGAAAATCTTGTATTAGGGCTTC